CCACCATTTATTTCTTGTGTTCCAGACTACACATTCATGGATGGATTATTCATGTTTGGGTTTTCAAATGAGTTTTCTGGATTGGTTCCATCACAAAATTTTTTAACAGGTTTAGTTCTATTAGAATTTGGAAATTTATTAAAATATTTTTCAAGTTTTTCTAGTATTTCTAATTTTTTTCCAAAAATCTGTTCAAAGTTTTGTTCTTTCTGACACAACGATTCTTTATTGTGTAAATATTCTTGATCTTCAACTAAATCTGATGAATCATCATTTGCTTTGGCAAGTAATAATTCTCTACTTTCCTTCAAAATTTCATTTTCTTTCTGTATTTTTTCTCTAATGGCATTCCTATTACTCAATATATTTTCTTTAACTTTACAAAAAATTTCACTCATTGAAGATTCATTTGCAAATTGAAATGAATCTGACAATAATTTAAAAACTTCATTTAATTCTGACTGATTTGTTTCAATTCCTTCAATACAAAATTTATCAAGTTCTTTACTAATATCCTCCAATTCTTGTACTTGTTGTTTTAACTGGAATTAAGACAAATAATTTGTAAAAACTAATTATAAATTATATAAATTATGTTAAAAGTTTCTTTATCTTACATGATTTATTGACTGATTTTCAGGATATGAATTTAAGGATTCATTTTTCAACGTAACTAAATTTTCCAATTCCTTAATTATTATATTTTTTTTCTGTTGTACTCTAAATAATTCTTGTTTTNCAATCTGCTTTTTGTGTATAACAGAATTAATATTATGAAAATAATGAAGTTTTGTTAAAACTAAAAATAATAATAATATAGCAGTAGCAAGAATAAACACATCCTTAGAGTAATTAAATACAAGTTCTTTATATAAATAAATAAATAGGACAGCCAGATGAAATAGGACATGGTGGTTTCAACACCAAACTCCTCAGTGACAAGCTTCACACTTACACTGCTGTTGAGTTTTTCCAACTTGATTTTGTGTTATATATAAATTTAAATGCTTTTCTCTTTTCATTATTACTAAGAGTATTTGCAGGTCTTTTTGCCATTTTCACAGGACACAAAGGAGTGCATGCATATATTAACATGTTGCTACAATGGCAGCTAACAACAAACTAGGGATTTTTTTAAAAATTAATTTATAAAAATGATGTTCATCTGAATTTCAGAAGATTAGGTTGAAATACAATCAGTCACATAAATTATGTATTTAAATTGTGTGTGTTTTTAAATTTATGTTCAAAAAATGAGAGTATATTAAAAAGCAGGTTTAAACAGCTACACACACAAAATATTAATATAAAATGTAACATTTATATCACTGTCTGTCAACATTTTGAAAAAAAATTTATTTTGCAAGTACTTTCAACAGTCTAAAACTGTCCTCTTCAAGCAGAATCATTATTAGAACTTCCAGAGAACAAGAATCTGAACATCAACTGACATTTTTTCAAAATTGTTTGTCCCATATGTGCATGGAAATTTAAATTATATATGCACAGTTTACAAAAATTATACTTTAATACAAAATACAATGAAATGTAAAATAAAATATCAAGAATAAATGGAGTAAAATAAAGTCTATGTATGATAATGAATTAAATAGTCAATAAATAAACACAAACATATGATGGCACTACTGTCACTAGAAGGTGTTTTATTGGGAACCATGTGATTTAGAACCTTAGAAGGCTAAACAGTGCTGTCCACAACTTTGGTATATTCAGTGTGGGAGAGTTGCACGGTGACAACAATGAGATGTAAAGTGATTCCGATATAAATAATGTTTTTCAATCCCCACAGCATTTTAGAAGGGAAACTTGTGACCAAATTGGTTCAAAGTTACTTTCTATTGCTTTTTTAGCTAACTCTGTTGTATACTTGCTATGCGCTATATCATCATGATGTTCTGCAAGACAAGAGATGGAGCATTCTAGTAGTGGCTCCAATATATAATAGTATGATACTCTACGAAAAGTCTGAGGTATATACTATACCTCAGACTTTTGCAAGTACTTTCAACAGTCTAAAACTGTCCTCTTCAAGCAGAATCATTATCTGAGAATCAGTCTGAGATATAGTATATACCTCAGACTTTTCATAGAGTGTAACTGTAACCCCATCTTTATCATTACAAAGTATCCTACATAAAGTGGGCTGAGGCACTAGTGGCAAAATATAGCTAAATTTCTTGAAGACTTGATAAATAGGTAATGATGCAGAACCCAAGTACAGAATGGCTGGGGTTACAAAAAATAATTCCTTCTTAGAATACAAAGTGGATGGTGGAAACAATATGCATTTGACCCAGTTAACTAAATGTTTGAACTTGGCTAAAGAATACCCAGCACTGCAAACAATCAATTTAAGGGAAATCTGCTCATCTACAAATGGATATAAAAACACCCTGCGTATCAGTGCTATAATAGCCATATTTTTGTACCTTGAGAGCTGAAAAGCCATAGAAGGGATGACGTAAGGAGGTTCACCAAATTTATGATATACAGAAAGTAAGATGCTGTTGTGAGACCAATATACAAGTAGATCTAAAAAAGAGTTCTTTGAATCTTTCTTCTTCTCCATAGTAAAGGAAATAGTCGGGAAAATAGTCAACAGCGATTGTATAAACTCCAGTAACTATATCTGAGCCTTCCCATGCAAGTAAAATGTCATCAACATACCTCAAATATAGGAGGGGATTATGTATGGTAAGCAGGGATCTAAAAACTTTGAATTCTATGGCTCTCATGACTAATTCTGCCAAGATGACTGATAGGGATGAGCCCATAGACACTCCCTGCTTTTGCAAGTAAATATTACTATTGAAACAGAAATAGTTGTTCTCAGTAATTAGTAAAAGTCTCTCTCTCAACCCCAGTATTTGTGGAATGGAATAACCATTTTCAATTAGTAATGTATTTGCAAGCATCACTGCTTCAAAATGGGGCACAGATGGGTATAAAGAAACCACATCTATTTTGAATAAACAATAGAAATTTGGAGGTATGGCCCCAAAACTACTAATTATAACGAACTTTGCTTCCAGAGTAGAAGATACAACCAGATTACAATTAGGCATTAAAGCAGCAATTTTCCTAGCAAGCACTTTTTCTAGGAAATACATTGGGTGGAAACACTTATTCACTAAGGGACAGAGTGGCCAGGTAGACTTATGCATTTTTACCTCAAAGAATAGTCTAGAACATGCAACATTGGTCAGTGGATCTAGAGGGTCAGATAATGCTGATGTTACACCTGGTAAAGTGACAAGTTTTTTTACTTTTGTCAGCACTGAAGGAGTTGGATCTTCTCTCATTAACATAGATCCCAATTGTAGGAGGAAATCATTGGCCATACACAAAAAGTCATCATTTTTGCACAGAAAAACTTCTTATCTTTGTACGAGACTAAAAGTCTTAGATTCAGAGTGTTTAAGAACTGTGTGACAACTCTCTTTCCTCTATTCAAATGAAGTAGCAGTTTGTAGACACTGTGCACCAGATATCTTTTCAAAATTAATTCATGTATAATTTTTGTAAACTGTACAGTACATGTATAATTTAAATTTCCATGTGTGTACAAGACAAACAATTTTGAAAAAACATTAGTTGATGTTCGAATTCTTTCCTTGAATTCAAATGTCTTGTTCTCTGGAAACTCTACTAATGATTCTGCCTGAAGAGGACAGTTTTAGACTGTTGAAAGTACTTGCAAAATAAATCTTTTAAAAATAAATTAAAATATTTAAAACGATGGAATCACAATTTTCTAATCTTACTTAATTGTACTGTGAGTGAGTACATGAAAATTCAAATTTCCCTTCTTTTCTGACTTATGGAGGCATAAAAACTTCTAACTCTAAACCATTTGCTAAATGAAATAGAATAAAAGGTTAAAGCATTCTAATTCTATTTCATTTAGCAAATGATTTAGAATTCAGAAGTTTTTAAGCTTCCGTAAGTCAGAAAAGAAGGGAAATTTGAATTTTCATGTACTCATTCACAGTACAATTAAGTAAGAAAAATAAATCTTTTTTTTTCATAATGCCAATAGACAGTGATATACATGTTTCATTTTATATTGAAAAGCAGTTACTCTTGTTATCTTTCTATTTCTTCTTCATTATAAAACAAGATCGACCACATTGGCCAAAACAAATTCAGCAATGAAAATTGATAAAGTATTTATTGAAATCAATACTTTACTTTTTACCTTTTCTGTTGTTCTAATTCTTGCAAATGGAATCTTTCCATTTCAATATGATCTAATTCTTGTAAACGTTCTTCCTCAAAAGCTTTTCTCCTTCTTTCTAATTCCTGTTGAAGCATATGAAACTGATCTTCTACAAATTTTGCCATCTGAATAATATGCAAAAAACTAATGTATGAATATTTCATATAATACAATTAAAAAATAGAGATATTAAAAATTTACCAAAGTTTGATTTTTCCATTCATCATTTGTAGAACCATTCAAACTTCTATTGTCCATTAACTGTTCATCTTGCATCACTGAAGTGCTAAATTGTGTTTTATTCTATTTATTTGTTATAAATACAAATGTAGATTATTTCCAAAATATTTAAAAACTACAATTAACAAAGCTACATGTTATTAGATTTAATTTTATGCCTTACAATACATCCTATTTAAAGAAAATTTACTTGTCCATACAAAAGACAACTTATTTTACTTTTAACATACAAGTACACATTTATATAAATACTGCATAGACAAATATAAAATATGTACTCATTAACGAAAAAGTTATGTATCAAGAAGGAAGCATTGGAATCAAATGAAACTTACTATCATCATTAAGTTTGCTTTAATTAAAGTGATTACAATATCATAGAAAAGACAATTTCATGTGCAACAACAGTACAATTTAAAAGAAACCTTTAGTACTTTGTAGGACCCCTCTCTTGATTGGATACATGCAATGCTACAGTTGTGCATGAATACAGATATTGTACAGTATTCTTCAACAGATTTACCCATGCTCTACAGATGTAACTGGTGCTCTAATTCATTCACACTCTGTCGCCCTTTGCAATAAAAGTAGGGACCATCTACGCCCTTTTGACTCCTGGGCGTATAGTTGCACGTTGTCTTGCCAGGCGGAGACACTTTTGGCCTGGCTTTGGACCAAGACAGCCCCTTTGCATTCTTTTCTATTCTCACGGCAGTTGACTGACAAGCCAGACTGTCACCATTGCAACGCTGAGGAAACATTGCTGCACTACTGGCTACACTGCCCGAACTATATCAGGTCTCACAAAGACCTAGGCAGCACATTGACTTTAAACATGTCACTTGCTCGCACTTTGACGCCAATATACCAGCCTAATACTTCCATTACCCCTTGTCAACACATGGCAGAGCTGGAACGATATATCTATCTTACTGGTCACTTCACATAAACAATGGGCAACACTTATCGGAGAAAGAGCCAAGAAGGCTATAATCTCCATATGAAACAGTAGTAATAATAATAATAAGAAGAAGAATTCACACTTTTAGATGGCCAAAGTTAACATCTCATCTGGACCCAGAAATGCTCAATGGATGACAAATCTGAAAACTAGACATGCCAAGGAAACATGGCAATGTGATGAAGACATTCCTGTGAAACACTACTGTGAGCAACACTGCAACGAAAGGCAATATGAGGTTGTAGCTTTTCCTGAACTTACCATTGTGCTGTGAATGTTCTTCACAACCACTGTTAGGGTCAAATAACATGATCACTTTCTAGACCAGCAAAGAAGCAATGGGGGAGTGTGCCACTCAACAACAAACATGAGAATGAAGTGCTCATTAGTGGTCCTCCACACCAATATAGTCATCCATTTCCAAACAGAACAGAGATTTGTTACTAAAGACTATAAGCTGCCAAGCCATAGCAGTCCATGCTTTCCGTCAAGAGACAACTGCAAACAAATCCAATAATATTGGAGTGCTAATGGCAGGATGCATAGCAGTCTCTGTGCATGCAAATTTGTCAACAATATAGGAAGAGATAAAATTTCTATTATAAAGATGTTTCCAGCTATTTCTGGATGGTCAACAAAGATACCATTGCAACTGTTCATACTTGTCTCATGATCAGACAATCATCTGTTTTGATTGTCTATTTAGGGCATCCAGAGTCTGCCTACCATGTATGTGTGCCTTTATGCATCCACTGTCTCCAATATGGCTGTCTTTAAGCCAATTGGCACCAATTACTCCCAACCTGGCTCAGGACACCATTAACTGGGTGACGAAATAAGAGATGAACAATAGACAAAATACAAATTTTTTTGTTTTCTTTATAAAAGTCACCATTCTTTTCTATTGATCTACTACCTGTTAAATTTAAATATATTTTTTTTTAAAACAAGTTAAACATTTCGTAATTTTAAAGATTTTGAAACAATTTTGTAATTAACAAACATATTTATACATGTTACATGTTAGGCTCAAAGACCAAAATCGCTCATTGAATGAAAAAAACGACCACAACGCATTGTGGGCATTTCAAAACGACCACAAAGCAAAATTTACTTAATGGCTTTCATGATATTTGACCACTATACGTTTTGGTGATTAAGAAAAGCCATAATGCATTCTGAACATTAGCTGATACAACAACGATACAGAAATCATATGATGCACAGTGGTTTGTAACTTTAAAATATGGATTACAGGCTCAAAACATTTTTATTTACAATTTTTAATGCCAAACAACATTACAGTAGAGCCTCGATTATCCGACCCCCGATTAACCGATGCCTCAGTTAACCGACCGTCCTAGTTGGCAAATTTCAAATGTCCGCCAGTGATGTGGCGCTACAACATTTGGCTATGTCTTGGTTACTTTAATATTATTTTTACGTGTTTTAGCTGGCAACACTCATTCAACCATGAAAGGGAGCCAGTATTTAAACGAGGCTTAATTTTCTAATTTTTAACGATACAATAGCGACGATTATTATTTTAAAAAATTTTTGTTAGGCTTAACATCGATGAAAATTCAACATGAAGTAGGTTAATAGCGATATACTAATATACTAATTACATGGGATATAATAATATACTACACTAATAATGGATTTTTTTCATACTTTTCGGTCATCTGACTTTTCAATTATCTGACCAACCCCAGTCCCCAATTGAGTCGGATAATCGAGGCTCTACTGTGTTCTACAAGTTTTCCTAGAAATTTAATTTTCATACTTAAAAAATTTCAAAGAAATAAAATATATGGAGAAAAATACACATTTGTTTCTTTTGTTTTGCTAAAAAGTGCTATAGGTCTAATTAGATATACTTGTAGGTGCTTGATATACTATACACAATAAAATAAAAATCAGCTGCTAAAGTTAAAAACCACTGTGTGACTGATTTATTATGGTTAAAAGCCACCACACATTCTGGATGTTAACTAATAATGAGCGTTGATAAGAAAATAAAACTTTCTTTTCATTATGATTTATTTATCTTCAATCATCTTATAACAAGTAACAAAATTACACAGGTAACAAAATTATTCACCATATACAGAAATTTAACTTGGTTACTTTACAACAACATTTAATTATTCGTGCATTTTATGTTCTTTGAGTGACATTTGCATTTTTATCAATACAGTATCTTTTACAGTGACACATTATAAACCCTTGCTTACTTCCAGATGTTAACATAGATGCTGAGCAAAGTGTTAATAAAGTTGAGGGTGCATTCTGAATGTTAATAAAGTTACTGTAGAAATTGTAGATTCATTACAAGCATAAAGTCTATTAAAAAAACTTTCCTTGTTTCCTAACTGATAGAGACCTGATGGATTAATGCTCATAACAAAATTAGGCTCATTTTTGGGAGCTGCACACCCCCTATCAATATTAGACACCCTAACTAAAACAATCAAACCAATTTCAACTGCAGAAGATTACCCTAAATTGAGAAAACTCTGAGCTCGAGCTCAAGCAAAAAAATATAAGATGAATAATTCTATGACGCAGATCCCTGTACTATTATTGTGAAATAATAATCAGAACAATTCTTACTGTTGTTAAAAATTTTAATAACTAAAATGTCTTAGGATTTTTAGGCTTTATCAGAGGTATTAATTTACATCTGATATGGAGAGTGCCAATGGCTCAATGGCATGAAGGTTGAGAAAAGCGAAATCCTACTTGGGTGTAATATACAGTAATACCTTGGTTTTCGTTGACTTCGGTTATCGTCGGTTTCAGATTTCACCAATTGTTTTCGGACGGATTATTGATGAAAACTGAAGTATCACTGTACAGTGTACACCCATGTACGTAGCATCAGTCAGCATTATTTCTTTAGCTTCTGTTGTCCTATCCTAAACCCCCCCAGTTATAGTGAAAAACAGAATAATTTTAGGCTAAAACTTTTTCCAGCGAAACTTGTGGAGCGATGAGTAATAGCATCAGAACACAGGGTAGTTTTACCCTAGATTTACCCTAAATATAAGACTACCCGAAACATTATTCTGAGAGGTTGAAATTACTCTAGAAAAGAGTAATTACCCTAGAAACGGCAGCACTGGTTAAGAATGAACACAATACAAACTCCGCAAGTGTCTGCAATGCACCTGTTGACAAGTTACAACCTATCCTTTATATCATGGTTGCATCAGCTAATGTTCAGAATGTGTTATGGCTTTTCTTAATCACCACAATGCGTAGCGGTCAAATATCATAAAAGCCATGACACAAATTTCACTTTGTGGTCGTTTTGAGTTAGCCACAACATGTTGTGGCCGTTTTTACAACTAACACGATGTGAATTTCGCTTTGTGGCTGTTTTTTACAAATGCCACAATGCAAATTTCACTTCGTGGCCGGTTTTACAAATGCCGTGATGCGAATTTCGCTTCATGGCTGTTTTTTTCACTCAATGAGTGATTTCAGTCTTTGAGTCTAACACATACATTAAAACAACAAAAAAAAAACAAGAAATTCAAAACAAATTTTTTATTTTAAATTGATTAATTCATATTATAATTGTATGCAATGTCACATAAATATTCTATTGTGTTTTCCATATTGTAATTTAAAACTTTTCTCAAGCTCTTTCAGGCAAAAATATATGTAAAATTACTTCTCTGATGATGGATGCCACTTTTAATATTTTATTGTATTTTTTAGGATTTTGTAGTTTCTATAAATATGAGTAAAAGATTAAGGGAAATTGAGATAAAATATTTAAATGGCAGTAAAAAGAAAGACTAGGCAAAGAAATCCAAAACAGAAAAGAATACAGCATATTTAATAAGTATTTCAGCAAACCTATCTCAGAACATGCAGAAGAGCAAGTGGAACCACAACACAGTGAAGATTATGACACTGAAGGAAAACAATCTGAAGACATAGCTCAGACCAGTCCTAACCCCATCTTTTCACAGGTGGATCAGAATGACCCAAATGCAGGAAATTTCACAAAACAACCATTCCGTTTCTCAAACTTTGTTAGCTGTGTGTAATGTCTTTGAATCATACAGGTATGCCTGGTATTCAAAGACCTCCAAACAAAAGGTACATTGAAAATTCGGAACACAGCAAGCCACTGCAAGCCTTTTTTATAGGATACCGGAGTAGCGATTAATGAGCTTTCTGGTGACATTACCTGGTGTACAATTGGGCCACAACTGTAATCATTTACATACCTATATGAGGCATAGGGATATGTTGTGTTTTGCAGTAATTGCATAATTCTATCTGTTGTGTAACTTTCTGTTAAATTATTTTATTACAAACCTCATTGGACTGTAATTTGAAAAAAACTGTAGACCTATAAATTCCCACTGTTATCTGTCTGTCTTTTCTTAATCTCAAAAATGGAGTTAGACAGATGAAAGATGAGATCAGATATGGAAACCTTAGGGTAGGAGGCACTAATTAACTATATACGAACTTCCAATGCAAATTGGAAGTCGTTATTTCAATTCAAAAATTTTTCCCTGAAAGGTGTTAGACAGATGACTGACACAACTCTATTGTTAAAGGAAAAGTACGATGGGCAAGCCACTACTAATTTGAGTTGGGGAGCATATATTTTAAGTTAAATAAATAGCAATCAATAAAACAAAATTCTAAAAATATTTTTAATATATAAGCAAATTAAATAAATATTTCTAAATTTCTAACTGAATTAAAAAAAGAAACAGAATTAAAATAAATACTGATACTGACTCATTCTACATATTGAGTATGTTTGTATTATATATATATATATATAATACAAACATACTCAATTCAAGAATGCATGTATTATATTTTCCTTTATACAGTATATATAAAATTGTAATACATTACATGCAGGCATATTTAAGTACAAGTCATTCACAGTCCAAATCAATTAATTCCATTAGTAAATCCTTGATATAATCGTTATTATTTTTACATTGTCAGGTAACTAACTTTATATATCATTAAACCTTAAAGCATAGCTTTAATGTAACAATTAAATAAACATTGTAGAATGTATTTTTATAAGTTTAAAAAAGAATGCACAGTACATTATCAATTTTTCTACTTTTCATTTTGTGGAGTTAATCAATTTGGAAAGTGAGCAGCTCATATATACATTATAGATGATTTTTCATTTCATTCTGAAATGAACATTTTGGTTTATATTGTATGTTAATAGAATATAACTATATATAAATTTTAAATTTCTGTATACTTTTAGATCTGTTTAAAAAATTTACCTTTCAGTTCTTGGATTTTTTGAACAATTTGATGGATTATTCATGTTTGGGTTTTCAAATGAGTTTTCTGGATTGGTTCCATCACAAAATTTTTTAACAGGTTTAGTTCTATTAGAATTTGGAAATTTATTAAAATATTTTTCAAGTTTTTCTAGTATTTCTAATTTTTTTCCAAAAATCTGTTCAAAGTTTTGTTCTTTCTGACACAACGATTCTTTATTGTGTAAATATTCTTGATCTTCAACTAAATCTGATGAATCATCATTTGCTTTGGCAAGTAATAATTCTCTACTTTCCTTCAAAATTTCATTTTCTTTCTGTATTTTTTCTCTAATGGAATTCCTATTACTCAATATATTTTCTTTAACTTTACAAAAAATTTCACTCATTGAAGATTCATTTGCAAATTGAAATGAATCTGACAATAATTTAAAAACTTCATTTAATTCTGACTGATTTGTTTCAATTCCTTCAATACAAAATTTATCAAGTTCTTTACTAATATCCTCCAATTCTTGTACTTGTTGTTTTAACTGGAATTAAGACAAATAATTTGTAAAAACTAATTATAAATTATATAAATTATGTTAAAAGTTTCTTTATCTTACATGATTTATTGACTGATTTTCAGGATATGAATTTAAGGATTCATTTTTCAACGTAACTAAATTTTCCAATTCCTTAATTATTATATTTTTTTTCTGTTGTACTCTAAATAATTCTTGTTTTGATTCCTTAGGAGAATAAACAAATCTAATTTATAATTTAAATTACTGTATATTAATACACGATATTAAAAAGTCACCTGTAATGCTAATGCTCCATTTTTTTCTTTTTCATTATATTCTTTAAGTTGTTTTTCAATATTTTGACAACATTGTTCTAATTTTGCTTGTTCTTCTAGTGCTAATTTTTGAGCCTATTTAAAGTTAAAATAAAAATAATTAAATTTCTTTAACTAGTTATTAATTACATATAAGGTTAAAGAGGTTTTGAATAATTTTAAATAAGGAGTGTGTGAAGAATATTAACTAGTAAAAGAATTATTGAAAATTTATATATATATATACACGGGACATTCCAATTTTCAACGCTGACTCAGCGCTGATCTCAACATTCGTTCCTTTTTTCAACGTTGAGGTAGCGCTGTTGTCAGCGCTGACTCAACACACTCAGCACTCAACAAATATGTTGACTGCTACTTTCCAATGAATTGTGGGTAATTGGTAAGACATTTGAATGGAATCCATCTTGCTGAGAATGGAATTATGGGAACTAAGCACTTCGTACTCGAGTTGGAACGTCGTTGATGATGTCAAATTGTTGACTTCAACACTCAACACTCGTGTTGAAAATTGGAATGTCCCGATAGATATAAATTTGTCGTTAATCCGGAATCAGTGGAGACACTCAGATGAAACACATTGTACTGGTTAAGGTATCTTCGTTTAATCAAGTAATTAATGTACAAATGAGTCTTTCAATACGTTTCTATATTCAACGGTTGACTCAACAGTGAATTTTCCGTTGAGTCCCTCCATTGAACGATCTGACGTCACGTTTTGCAGAAAAAAGAAACGCTTTTGTTGAGAGGTTGCTTTTCAAGATGGCTGACTTAAGTAACATGCTAAATAATTAAAGTAACTTGCTTAACCATTATTTGAATAAATCCTTTTATTCAAATGAACCCATATCTGTACCATTTTCTTGTATACTGGGTCTTTCTTTAATAATTTTAATTAATTTATTGAATATTTATATCATTAGGAAGACTTAGCGGGCCAAATATCGGTCGTAATCAATTTTGGACAAATGAAAAAAATCTTAATATTTCAATATTGACCAAATTATCCAACATAATCGTGCAATCACATGTTTTATCATATACAGATTGTTTGTTAATCTGTTTGCTATTACAGCATCCACAGCAGCGAATGGATAGTTTCTATAAGCGAAATTTACTTTTTCGTGGAAGCCGCCATGTTAGTTTGTTGAATACTCAACGGTCTTTCAGGTCGTTGAGGCCGTTGAGCTCAACAGTGAAACAGCGCTGACGTCACTAGTCTCAACGGAGAACTCAACGGTCCATTTAGAAACGTTGTTCTCTCACTGTTAAGTCAACTGTTGAATATAGAAACGTACGGTTTACATAATAGTAGGACGAACGTCCGTACGTGTCGACAGATAGTAGTCCGAACAAAGGAACAAGTAAAGACAAAGGGTCATAAAACGTTTTATTTGGTTATTGGGAAGGTCCCTCTAGTAGGTCAAATTTGTTTGCATCGAGAGTACCGACAAAATTTTCATTTATAGAACAAAAAGTAACAAAGTATAAATCAGATATATTATAAATGCTAATTTCACAGTTTAAGAAATTCTAAATTTTATAGAACACTATTATGATTTTCTTATAAATTTCTGTCTTTGTTTATCAATCAACTTAATATATACATATGTATTTTATGAATTTCTCTAGATTTGTTAAAAATAAAAAAAAACTTCTAGAGAACACTACATATACTAATGTGATCAGTGTTCAGAAATTTTGTTTGTTTAGCTTTTACTTTTTACTGAGAACAGCAGCAAAAACATAAAAGAGAATTAAAACTAATACTAACTATCTGTGCTTTCTGACAGATATCCTCATTTTCTTTCCTTATATGTTCTAACTCTCTAAGTTTTTTTTCAAGTTTGGCTTCAGTCTCCAATTGTTCTCTGCGCCTCCTTTCTTCTGCTTGACTGTGTTCTTTTTCTAGTTGTTCTATATGTTGCCTGTAATCATTTTTCAGTTGATGTAGCAAAATAATTTGAAATCATAACAAAAACAACAATACCTTTTCTTCTCTAATAGTTCCCAATCTTTTCCTTTTTGATATTCAATTTCTTGCCTAGAAAAAACATTTTAAAGGCATAAGGTTGATGACATTTTAGAGACACTATAGTAAAATAAGTAATTAATTACAAAAAAAATATATATGTTTCTTCATTACAGTTAGTTATATATTATAATATAAATAAGCATAGAAAACTATAATTTACAGTATTGTTTTTGCTGAAGATATATAAATTTTTATTAATGTTTTAAGAAATTTTCTACGTAGATTCCGAATCTGTTCAGACTATTAACCTTTCCCATATCATCTCATTTTATACATAATTTTGTATCTATATCTAATACAGGGTGTCCCAAAAGCTATTTACTCAAAGGTTGAAAAAATAAAATTAAAGACAAAGTCTGCCCAAAAGGGACCATTTATTTCTTGTGTTCCAGACTACACATTCATGGCGACAGACCTTCCTTTATAGGCTACATGCCACCAGAATTTAAAAAAGTCCTTTAAAAAACACAAATATATCCAATTAAAATTATAAAAAATTTTCTAAAAAGGAACTGGTGATATACAGATGTCTTGTTTTCCATCCATCCTATGGGATGTTTCTGCTTTTATCTACTGGAACAAGTGCTGGAAAATGCAATTTTGGAAACTTCCCCCTGGTGACAATACATTCAAATTTTTCTTTTGTAAATTTTTTTGTCCAATGGAGATTATTATTAATAAAATTAAAGACAAAGTCTGCCCAGCAAGACATCTGTATATCACCAGTTCCTTTTTATTATTTGGATATATTTGTGTTTTTTAAAGGACTTTTTTAAAATTCTGGTGGTATGTAGCCTATAAAGGAAGGTCTGTCACCATGAATGTGTAGTCTGGAACACAAGAAATAAATAGTGGTCCCTTTTGGGCAGACTTTGTCTTTAATTTTATTAATAATAATCTCCACTAGACAAAAAAAATTTACAGTTGAAAAAATAATTACAAGAGTCAGATTACAGGTACATAAATTTTAACTGTCCATACAACTTCAGCATACACAAGAATATTTGTGTTTTGCAACATGTGTTAGAAGTGCCTCCTCCAACCTGCAGGCACATGTTCACACAACAGCAATATTCCATGCTATATGTTGCAGCATTGATTGAAGCAGCCAAAAATGAAATTCCTCCATGTTCAATTTCAGTTCATCCAACATGTGGTGGTTGTTCTTGTAAACTCAGTTCTTCAGATGGCATCACAGAAAAAAAATCAAGTGGTATTAAGTCCAAAGAGTGAGATGGTGTTTTGCAAAAATCAAAAAAATCAGATCGCACTGCATAGGCTTGCTGGGTGCTAGTTCACCAGAAAATTTAGCATGCCAAATCTCCACCCACTTCAAATGAGATGTGCACTGAAAATATGCCTTGAGCAGTGTGATCCACTGGTCCTGATTAAGCCTAATCCTGCACTGTTGGTCAGAAACATGCGATTTCCTACCGTGCAGCTTAATCAAAATCATGTACAGTACATGGGTGCAGGGGAATTTTTCAATATGTTATATTTCATGTTGTAGCATCAATGCTTCATAGAGGGTGTTCCAATTTCTGTAAAAAAAATTCACAAACTCTGAATAAAGAGACTTTTGGGACACCCAAGTCCCTTTATTACCCCTATAATAGTGTCATTCACTATATAAAATGCTATACAAACATCAATCTTATGGTGCTGTTTCTACCTATTATAGGTAGGTAGAAAGATGGAGTTTTAACTGTTCCTACCAAACACATATTGAAAACTATTATTTTATCATAATTAAGCTGCCTACTTTTTACACTTTATGGTTTTTTTAAAATTTTTTAAATATCTTTTCTGTAATGTTAACTGTATGGTGGTACATCTATTTTACTGCTTCTTAACAGTTTAGAAAATACAAAGCAAAAATGTTAAGTAACATAAGTTTGCCATTTATAATGAAGCAAAGACATAGTGCATCTAGGTGGTAAACAAGCCAATGACATATTCTGTTTCATATAAAATAGACTGTCAATGATTTGCTTACTTAGCTGCTTGCCATCTTGATGTGTTCAGTACCCAATTATTAATTGTGATAGCAAAAGCTGAAATTAAGTCCAGGAACAAACTTTCAACCATGTTTGAATCTATTTGAATAACCAGTTTACTCATATGGGCAGCTTTTATTTATTTTTTCATACAGCATTTTATTTATTTTGTGCCCACAGGGCTCAAAGTTTTTTCAAAATCAAGTCCATTGTGATTTAGCCAGGTCCAGAATGGGGTGGCTGGATTTATGTTTTGAGCAATTCTTTACATCTGCATATTTGGAAAAACATATTACAATAGAAGACCAATTATAACTATAAACAATACTTTGAAAAATTCTAAAAATGAACTATTTTACAGTTTTACATTTTATATATCAAACTAATAAAACATAAATTATTTTACTGTTAAAAATAACATCTTTACTTACATGGGTGAATTCAGATTTTCTATGGATCTTGCTAAATCAGAAGCAGAACGACTGAGTAGAGAAAGACGAGATAAATTAAGTGAAGACTGAAATTTCAAATACCTTCATTCAGATTTTATAAGTAATATATTTATTTTATATATATAATGTATAAATAAATAATTGCTTACTCCTCTTTCTTTTTCTTTACGTAATCTTTCTACTTCAGCTGGGTCATTATATCTAAACATATTTGTCTTCCCCAAAAGAATAACACAACCTTTAAAAAAAATCTCAAATTTTTAGAAATTTAAAAATTTATTTTTCTAATTATTATAATAATTATAGTAGTAGCAGCAGTAGCAATAGTAAAATAATAAACTGAATTAAATTAACTGTTTAGCAAAATAACCTATTCAATTATGTACACATGCATTTAGGTATGCCTCTATCAATAGAAAACTGTACAGTACATAGATTCATAGAAGAAAGATTAAATTAAAAGATTAAGTCTGATGCAATTTCTGTAGAAATAACTTTTTTAATTCTAATAAGATTTGTTATTATTATAAATACTTAAAATTTGGCAAAAGATTTATTGTTTATATGAAATTATATATATAGTTTCAGATTTTTTACCATATACATAAAATGAAATATTTATACTTATTAATTATTTATAATTATTATTAAAGACCAATAATTTTTTATTTTATAATATTTTCATATACTTATAGATTATCATAATATACAGGGTCTTTGTAATTAAAATTCCATTTTGAAATGGCCATTAAAGGAAAACTACTGGATAAAATGTTATGAAACTTGGTAATTGTATAATTAGTAATTTTTAACCTTCTATTTAAATAATGTGTACTGTAATAATAAATAAAAATAATTGAAACATTTTTGTTTGAATTTTTAACTTACTTATAAGATACTTTTTAAAGTATAAAAATTATTTTTTTAAATTTAATACAAAGTTTTCAAATTATTCTAAAATGCTTCAAAAATAATTAATAAATGTTCAAAAAATAGCTTAACTTAATTACTTTAAAAGTTATTAAATTATTTTAAATGAACATAAATAAATAAATTATATATTTATTTGTTAAATATACAAATATACAACTAAATAAATTTGTTATTTCTATTGTTATAAAATAATAATAATACAGTAATGCCTTGTTTTACATTTCCTCATTTTATTAAGATTTACATTAATGAACAATTCAAAATCAATAGCAAAAAAATTAAAAACATGACAAAAGAAAGAAGGTGAAAGACAATATGTCAGCAATGTAATATTGTTGACATATTGTCTTTGACGAGTCCTAAAAAACAGACCTCTGTCATAAGTCTGGGACTATCTGTAAATATTTTATGCATTATCCTGTATAATACATAAACTAGGACGTTGTGCAACTTCATCATATTGCAATAGAATTGAGGCAGAGCTAGAAAGAAAGAAGTGATCCTTGCACTTATTAGGCACAGAGACAATCCTTGTATCTACATATGTGGCTAGAGCATTTGGAATGGAAACAAACTTAAATATGACACCTTTTGGATAAATCTTTTATTAGTATGTTACAAATTTAAAAATTATAAAGTCACCTTTTATTAATATGATGCATGTATATTTTATAATATAATTTTTCATACTCATGTGTGACAATTTTCTATGAATTTATAAGTTTGCCTACATAACAAGTTCGGAATTTTGGCACTCCATCGTCAGGGAGCACTGACATTGTCACTTTGACTCTGCTATATATTGAAAAAAGTCAAGGACTCTCATTACATTTTTGGATTCCTCATTGCAATTAATGGAAAATGGTAAAGCTTCATCAAAATCAGCCCATCAAATTTTGAGAACAAACTCAATTTTATAAGTCAATAGAAGACACACTAGTGACCTTGGAACATTGTTTGCAATTCACACAATACTGCTTTGTCACACACATATGTGCTACGACATTGTATCTCAAATGCAAAGTCATAAACCCCCATTTCTTATAAATGTTTTTGGATTTCTCATCACAATTAATGGAAAATGGCAATATTTAATCAAAATCGATCAAACAGATTTTGAGAATGAACACAATTCTGTAAGCCACTTAGAAGCTTCACTAATGCACCTCCTCAAATATATTGTATTATTTTTGGTCAATATTTTAAATAGTAACGTTAATATATATTTACCTTGAGATATACGAGTTGGTTTATCTATTAAAATTGTATTTACAAAACATTCAGATTTTCCTAATGGTATTAAGGTAGCTTTTCCATCTTGTAATTCAATAATGCAATGATCATCTTCAATTCCAACTCCATTCAATACTAAAAAAAATTGTAAATATTAAAAAAAAAAAAGTAATTTCACAACATGTCTAAAACAGAAAACTTACCTATATCTTTTTTCCCTGATGAATTTTCTGTTCCAATATAAGTTGTACCTTCCTATTACAGAACAAGTGTTTTTACATTTAATAATATGTTTTGTAAATAAAAAGAATTTATTTATTACAATTAACCTTTAAATGATAAAGCGTTATGCCTGTACTTAGTACATCATCATCAATACCAATAAGATGAGGTAATTCAGAATCTAACACCACTCCTTGTCCAGATTTTCGAAGCCCTAATGTTCTTTGCTCCTATGGTAAAAACATTTCCATTTAATTTTGAAAAATTAATATAATGTAAAAATAAAATTTATAAGTATATTTTTTAAAATATTTACTTTAAGAATTTTGTGTGTTTCTTTCCATCTTTCCGTCCATTCTTCCGTTAATACTTTTACCTACATAAAAAGTAATTTTTAACGTTTTATATATTATAATAAACACTATATATATAGTATTATGGAATGAGATAATATATAAATATCAAACTAATAAATAGTAGCTAAACAATAAAAATTTTATTACTCACTCTTGCTTCATTTTCATGTAATTTTTCTATCATCATAGGAGATGAATTAATCTGAAGATAATAATTTTCTTAATTAAAATTTGTTATTATTTATTCATACAGAAATGCAATAAAACAACGAACTTACACTATCTCCAAGAAGAGATTTTAAGTGAGCAATTTCATTGCGAAGTTCACGGATTAGTTTAACATTTGGATCCTAAATAAATATATCTCTCACAAATTGTAAAAATCTTAATCTAATTGTATATTAAAAATAAAAATATTCTAAGTGTATTTATATTATAAAAAAAAATCTTACTTCGTTAATTGTGGGTTTATTAATGATATTCTTAGCTCTGTTAGCATATCTTAAAGTACTCAAAGTTTCACCATAATTGCATTCAGCTGGTGAAATAGCTATAGAAGTAAATTTTTTTAAAAATTTATGTCTTGCTATTAATATCAACTATAGCCATTATAAATCTATTATTACCTGCTATCATAATTGTTTTGGAATTGCCACCTAAACTGTCTTTTAATAACCAAGTTAAAACTGAATCTCGATAGGGAATAAAAATTGTTTTCTTTGTTTGAGTACTTGACATATCAGCTAAAAAAATATTTTGTACAAAATTAATATAATAAAATGTTTGATTCAATTATTTATAAAATTAACTAACCAAGGGCAGAAATAACTGTTCCTAAGGTAACTAGTGATTTGTTAATATGACCTCCTTCTTTGAGTCTTTGACCTGTTGCACCAGTCACATCTGCTCTTTCACTAAAAAATACATTGTACAGTATAATTAAAATTTATTTTAAATATCATAATTAATAAATTAAATAATTATATTGTGATGAGCTTTTGTGAATTATATTACAAATATCTGTAATGAATAAATATAGATTTATTGCAATATTTATTTGCTAAATATTCTGCTTTTGAATTTTATATTTATATAAACAACAATAAAAAAGAAAAATATTCTTTCATAAGATTTATAGTTTTCCAAGAGAAAATTTCCATTATAAAAATAATCATATTATTACTTTTGTAATAGCTTCTTGTCTATCTAAAATTAATGGAAAAAAGCTATTTCAGCTTAATGGGAAAAAAAACCCACCCACCCACACCCACACACAATGACTTTCAAGAGTAATTATTATTTGAAATTTACAAAACATATTTAAACCTATTCAACTGTAAATTTTCTCATTAAAAAAAATCCTTTTTAAATAATAATTTCTTTTTTAATAGTAAGAAATAAATTTAAGATACATTAAACATTTTCCAAAGTGTGATCTATAATTTGCTACTTACAACTGTGGGGAGGGGGAAAAACACTAGTCTGAACTTAAAAATAAAAATACAAAATAACACAAAATAATAAATTTCTAATAAAATATATTTGTTATTTTAAACAATTATTTAAATTAACTATCATATTACATAATATTGAACAACAATCATGAATGAGATAAGATGTTAGTTGTAATTAATTATAATTATTGTAATTATTGCATTCACAATGTATTTATGCATTCAAGACAGGCTCAATAAAAATTTTAAACTACCGATTCACAAAAAGTTTGAGGAAAACTATTAAAATACTCCTGTTTTAATAAATTTTATAAAGTCTTCCTAAATGTTATCATCTTTGAATCAGTGATTATATCCTCCTCTGAACAACAAAAACTGTAATTGTACTTGTGAACTTCCAAATGTTTTTAAGCTTGAAAAAAATGTTATTGTTATGAGCAATACTTCTTGTCATAGTGTTAAAACAGAACAATATCTTGGAAGAAAGCTTATAACCAATTAACAACAGCAGTTAAAAATATTACAAATCAGAACAACACGCTGAAATCAGATTTATTAGTGTGATAAACTCAGTTAAACATTTACATGATAAATATAAAATTGATAAAATGGTAGAAAAATATAAACACTGCATTTCAAGGATTCCCCATATCATTGTCAGTTAAACCCATTGTAATGAAGTCAGATTAAGAATTTGTGGATCAAAATAATAATCATTTAAATTATGTGATATCGAAAAACTAACAAAACAAGCAGTTCAATTAATCACTATTGAAAACTGAAAAAACCTTGTTCAGTGTGTTGTAACCATGGAAAATTAAGTTCTGGAATATTTATATAGCAAATGACATATTAAGAATATTTAAGTTTTTTTATTAATTCAACTTCAGATTCCAATTAAGTGGAATAGAAGAGCTAAATAATTCTGAGTAAATATTTTTATCCTTCTTTAATTTAATTTCTATAGTCAACAAAAAATATAATTGAAATGAATTAAACTTTATTTATTGCGTATGTTTCTGATAATTTTTAGACACCAAAAACATCAAAAGTTATCATTTTAAAAAGTATGGAAGTTATTTGTTTAATTTAAAAAGAAAACACAAAAATAACACATATGAGATGATCAAAAATGCATCTAAAATAAAAATATTTAAAAAAAATACTTTTATTTAAAAAATTATTTTAAAATAAATCTTACAAATTTAAATTTTACAAAATGTTTATACTATTATGCATGTTTTAATTAGTTATGAGGACATATCTTCAATTTTCAAATAACTTTGTATATATTAATGTATACATATAGTGGCAAATTCAGATTATGATAAGAGCATAGTAAACAAATAAGCATATTGCAACTTTATATTCATATCTATGTGGATCAATTATCAGTCTCAAAAACTAATATATAAATGTTTAAAATTAGATGGCTAAAAGAAAGATAATTCAAACAATTAAAATAATAATAACAAAAATGACAGAAACATGCCCCAGTGCCTGTTCCCTACATCCCAACTGTATTCATAGTCGTCCTAACTATTAAAGACTGCTTTATAAACCTGTGTTCAAAGAATTGAAATGTTAAATATGATGCATTTACACATTATTAGCAAAGGAATAACTTACTGCTGATTGTTATTTAGTTTATTTACAATCAATTTATTGTTAACTGAAATAAACCATAGAAATGAATTTTATTCTTATAAAAAGGTAGATGGTATTGCTGTCTTGTAATAAATTTAATGTTCTAAATTAATTTTTTTATTAATAAATAATTAAGAAACATCTGAAATAACTGTAAATTCTGGTTGTTTGGTTTATTATAATTATAGAAATAAATAAAAAGGTTTATTATTCTAAAATAAATATTTTCAGATAATTTAACTTTGAATTGAATATTCTATCAAAATTGAATATTCTATCATTTAATTAATTATCCAAGAAAACTTGTTTAATTCATAGATCATTAGTAACATTGCATTAATACTTCAAATTATCTTTCCTAAACTGATTATAAGAATATATCAATACTTAATTAGTAGAAAATCATTTTTTATCTACTTCTCATAAAATGATTATAATAAAATATGCTTTATATTATATTTAATGATTAAAAATTTAGTATAAATAAATATAACTTGAATTATTTAAAATTTCAATTATAAAATAAAAGATTTATCTTAAACTTAAAATCTCTCCATTATACCTAACCCTCCTTTAGTCGAACAAAACTCATACCTTGAAATCTCTCTAACAGATGAAATTTCATGAAATCCTATTTTTATTACTGTATATTTGCACAGATAAGATGATAGTTGAATCATAAAAAAGAAAAAAAAAAGACCACCAAAATCCAGGGTCGTCTTATAGGACACATACAAAAAAAAATTAGATTGAAATTTATATAAATTAAAATCATTATAAAAAAATGGAAAACCCGTAATTATTTATGAGTAGAGAGTAGGGTATGTCCACAAAATAGAATAGCCCATATGAGGTTTACGTGAATAGTCAAGGTCATTACCCGAATGCCCAAATCAATGGGAATGTTTGCAACAGCATCAAGGCAGTGCTGCCAGATACAAGAAAATAAAATTTGTTCATTCAAAAAATTATGAATAGGACATAATTCTGTATATGCTATACAGTATTATTATCCAGATGATGATTGCTGATCTAAACTAAATTCATAGGCTGTTGATAGTTTGAGGGTTGTCTTATAAGACAGATATATGCTAAAACTATAAAACTTTGACAAAAATTTATACCTCATCTTATCTGTGCAAATTATAATTTTCTTAGAAATATTGTATATGCTTTTTCCCCAGAAAATGTTTAATTAAAATAAATATTAAGAATTATACATAGATTAACTAATGATTCAAAAACATTTTTATTATAATTAACAATTACTTTAATTCATTTGAAATTTCTGAAACAAAAAAAAAAAAACATTTAATATTTGTTATAAATTAAATAAATTATTAATACCTTCCAGCTAGATCAACTAAATTGACTTTACTCATGGTTTCACTTGGCATATCATGATTAAAATTTGCCTGAAAATGTATTGTTTATGTAAATGTTAAATTTTTATTTTTAATTAATCATTATTAAATGAAACACTTTAAATATCTCAAATACCTGAGAAAACGTTAGTGTAAAAATTGCATGTGATCTGCTACTGACATCATTCATTGTAGTTGCTGCTGTTGTCCTAAAATTTAAAAAACATTTCTTAATTTTAGCTTCATAAAAATATGCTAAAATAATCATAATACAAAACTCCATTTAAATCAATATAAATGTTATATTGGACATTTCCAAAAAATATTAGAAAAAATGCTTACTGAAACAGATATTTAATTACTATTATTTGCCATTATTTTCAGATTTTTGTCTAGCCAAATAATTTTGCAAATCTTTAGAACTAAAAATAAACTATTCTAACCTGATTTATGCTGCAAAACAAGTTTTATGAAATAAAATTTTTTTTGAATTAATGCAATTGCAGTTATGGTTTAGAATAGAGATAAAATGAAAAACATAATAAACTTTGTTAATTGCCATTTAATATCCAAACAAACATATCTGAGATGTAAAAAGATTTCATCAAGTAAAAATTTATGACAATTTAGACAACAATCAAAATTTTTCTTAGGAATTTTTCTTTGGTAAAAATCAGTCATCTAAATTGTCAAATTTTTACTTAGGATGTTTTTGTTTAACAATTGTATTATTATGTCAAGACAGATCGATCAGAGGTCACAGAGTGCCAACTAAATGCGTCGCCGATCAAATGCACTACCAACCAACGCTTTCAATAGGTTATTTAGAAAAAAATTAAAATAAAAAATTTTAATTTGCATAAATTTGAACTTTTTTAATTCTGAGTAACATTTTGAATAAAATTTGTTTGTTTCCATGCAATTTTATCTCTAGCATAAAATTAAGCTGTAAAACTAAATTAGCTCTTTGGAAAACCTGAACCTATCAACCTCACTGTTAATGAGTAAGGCTTTATTTTAAAATTTGAGTTTTCTGGATCCAGTAGTTCTCTACAAATGTTTGTAGTGCCAGATGAAGAAAAAGAAAGTACAGCTTTTTTGGACAAATTTTGCATTTTTCAATTGCTTATACTTCAGCTTATATACTTTATAGAAAATCTTGAAATTTTGCACACTAGCTAAGAAAACAATTTTCTTTCAAACAAGATATTCAGAATTACTATAGATGTTTGAGTGGTGGAGAAATTGACCCCTAAAAATTGATAACTCTGATTCCTGTATATGTAGTCACTCAGTGACTTTTTTACTTGGTGGGGAGTCACTGCACTGACTCCTAAAAAGGAAAGAATCAATTCACTAATAATATTAAATTTCCTCTGAAAATATTAGAAAAAACAAACAAATCAATAATGTCAGCTCACCATGGATTAATAATGATAGTGAGAATCCTTAACTTGTATTCCACTAACATTTGGTAGGTATCTTAATTGATTTGATTCCATTCCTTAAAAGAGTCATATGGAATATAGTCAATATTGCTCAAAGAATTTAATACTCCAACAACTATTGAATTCTTGATCAATACAGTAAATCACTACCATGCTCCATAAACTATTTCTTACTATATGTGTACGATTGTTGTCCTAAAATACTAAGTTGTGAAGTATTGTCCAATATTGTATTAGAAACCCATACATTTCTTTAGTTAAGACTGTTTTAATAGGAGGCCTTTTCCATTATGACACCATGTTTTTTAGAGAAAGCAGTTTTTTAATATAGTAAGCAAATCAACACCTTATTTAATTTTCCAGCATGAAGAGTTTGTATAAAAAATGTTTTTGGTTTATTTTATAAACCTGCTTCAAGTTTGAAATTATACAATTTGAAATTCCCAAATTAGAATTTCAAATTCAGATTTGAAAACATTCCAATTTGGCTTAAGTTATCAATATAATAATTATTCATTTGTATGAACTAGGTATCATTTGTTGGAATGATGGATTCTCTAATATTTTGAGAGGGAGGCATAGATACTGTTGAAATAGTCATGATATTAAGATCATAAATCATTTCAGAACTTTCAATTAAAAGTTTTTCAAATACAGTAGAACCTCGATTATCCGGATTTTCGATTATCCAAATTGTTCAAAATAAACAAAAATTTTAAGAATTTGCTGATTTGCACTTGGCGAATTATGATACTGTTTATGCACGTGATTGAATGAATAACTTTTCTTGTTTCAACATTGTCTCACCCAGCACAGTGGTTGTAAACTCTTAAATATATTTTGCGTCATAATAAAAATATAACTTAACATATGTATTTATAAATAATTTATATTCAAATTACATCATTTCTATGACCAAGGGCGGCGTATGGGCAACGTGGGCCAGCACCTATGTCTTGTGGTCCGAAGGGCCTCGTGCCTCGAAGGTTATGCATTACTTAAAAGCCGCGAACGCGACAAAAAAGTTTTAGTTGTCATAAAACGATAAATAGTTTGTTATTCATAAAAATACAGTTTCAACTGCTTTTTATTTTATAAAATACGTCTTCTTGTGCCACCAGAGGGCCTTTTAAACAATAGGTAGTCTGTTAGCGCTGGTCAGTAGTAGTCCAAATTCAATACAAACGTTTGTTTCTTGAAAATTTGGTCACGATTTAAATACAGTATTTATTTTTAATATTACCGATATGTCATCGAAAAGTGTGTTGTATTATCATTAAAAGATAAAGTATTTGTTTCGATTATCCGAATTTTTCCTTATCCAGACTACCTTCATTCCCAATTAGTCTGGATAATCGAGGTTCTACTGTATTTTAATTTAAAATTATTATATTTATAAACTTTTTTATACCTGTGAGAATTTCCTCTAGTCATTAATTCCTGTACATCAGAATAATCCATAACCAAATGCTTTGATAAATCTGTAACATTATACATATTAGAAATGATAAAAGAAATAGTAGTAATAATAAATAAATAAAATGTATCAATATATGAAAAATTCTAATAATAATAATAATTTTATTTTGATTTTCACCTTGAACATAAGGACCTAATTTAGGATGTTCTCTAACTCTTAAATTATGTTGAGATGTATTTTTTCTTAATAAATCTTTTACTCTTTCATTATAAATTTCTAAATAACTGAAAAATTCAAAAAATCAAAGTTAAACACATAAAGAATAACAATAAGTAAACAATCTTATTTTAGTTACAAAAAATATTTATCATCAACAATATCAGGTGAGCAAATGAAAGTGGAAATCACTAGTAGTACTGTGAGAAAGTTGGCAATGCTTAACTAACTCATCACTGTTATTTCATTATTATTGTTTAATTTATGTTTTGTGATAACCAAAAATAACTTATGCTAGAAAACAAATAATTTTCATAGTAGAAAGTTACATAATGAAGAAAGTTACTAAAAATTAAGATGGCAGTTTATGTAAAAATATCCCATATAATCTGCAATCAACAAAGATTTTAAGTTTACAAACTTTTTAATAGAAATGTGTGTATAACAAAAAAAAACAAAAAAGTTGTTATAACAAAAAGTTATCTGAGGAAGGGGTTCAAGGCTTTTGGGTATGCTTAGAAATGATCCAACAAATTTTTATGCTGTTCATCTCTAGAGCTTACAATTCTGTTTATACACCTACAAAAACAATCTATTTTTGACTTTATAAAGTGCTGTCCAAACTTATATATTTAGTGTTTCAAATGTTCTCTGTCAAATCCAAGCAAATAAATGTCCAAGATTTAAAATTTTTCTCAACACATATCAGGACATTAACAAACAGAGATAACCCACAGTGGCAAAGTCTGATTTGCAATGCCACCAAATTTCTTGCACTACTACTTGTAATTTTCCTTTTTGTTAGATCACTCAATATACTTTAGCATCATTTAAAAAATTATATAATGCATTTTATTAACTTGCATAAAGTTAAATTTTAAATAATTTTTGTAGAAAAAATGTAATATATTTTTAAAAAAATTATGTTATATTATCCATACCTAACTTCTGTTCGAAAAGTAGCTCCAATATTTCTATTTGTTTTCATTCTAGCAAATAAAGCCTTAAAATAAAAGTATAAACTATTAAATTACATTTAAAATTTTATCTTAATATTAACAATAAATGTTAATTTATAAAAAAATATATATATTTACTTGACATATTCTAGGAATCAGGCCTTCTGAATCCTGTAAATAAAAATTCTAGATTAAGTTTTACTTAAATTTTTTATATCAATTCTTTTATCATTTTTCCAAAATCAATTCTCTAAAATACTTTATTCAATTTACAAAACTGTAAAGCAAATCCAGTTATACTTAGTATAAACTCTTAATTCAAAACTAAAAAATCCAGCAATGAATTGTGTAACTTACCCAGCTGTTACAAGATTTTAATAATATAAAAGTTATTTTCAAGTAATCATTATACAAAGGCAAAGGGCTTAATTTTGAAGATGAAGATGAGTTCTTAAAAATATCATAAATGCCAATAACAAGTAAAATTTTCATTAAGTCTGACCCCACTCAAGATATGACATATAACCCCTCTCTATTTCTCCACCTCCTTGATCCTTAACCACTAAAATTTAATAGCATCAATGCCTCTTATACACAAGCTACTGTACCAAATTTTATTAATTTATCATTAACATATGCTGAGATATTAAAATGAAATAGATGTCAACACATACAACTTTTTCCCATTTTTTGAGTTCAGTAGATTTTCAAAAAACCCAGAAGGTCAAATGTGACAATTCCAATACTTTCCCTTGTTACATGTACATTACAGCCAGGAGAGTAAAATGAAAGCAGAAACAGAAATTATTTGTTTTATCTTCTGCTTGATTGATTGATTAGTCTTTGTAAAATACCAACATATTAAAAAATTATATTAATCATTGTGATAAAAGTAATAAAGTAGTCTCTACTCTAAATTTATTTAATATGTAACAAAAGAATAATTACTGGTGTTCCCATCATTGTATATGTTTTTCCAGATCCAGTCTGACCATAGGCAAAAATGCATGCATTATATCCTTCAAATGCACTTTCAACAACTTCTTGTCCTAAATCTTGAAATACCTATAAATATAATTTAAAAATTAAAATGTACACATTTTCTACATAATAAAGTTAATATATATATATATATATATATAATAATTAATATTAATATAATAATATAATA